TATCCTCTTCCATAAATAGTTTGCCTCTGGAAACCCCATGAACCTGGAGAAAGGATGAAAGTCAGGCAAGTGTTGAGGACTTTCGTTCATAAGGTCACTATGAGTTGCCTACCACTCAACAACACTTAACAACAACAACAACAATTCAAAATAAAAAATAAAAGGCAAATCTCTTATTTGTGAATGGAAAGGATTGGGGGTAAAAACTAAAGAAAATTATACTAATTATTCTATGATTATATTTTACCTAGATTAGGCTATGTTTTTATTTATTCAGCAGAATTTTAAAGAATTAAATATCCATTTCTCTCCTAGCAAACAAATATTAATGGATCAGTTGTAAATGATTTTAGCTTTCATTTCACTGTTTTAGTTGCTTATGGGTGTAACTGCTTGCACTAGAGTTCATTAAGACAGAGAACTGCCCTGTAAGGGTTTCCTGAGTTGTAATTTTTACAACGTCTTGTGGAGCTGCTTGTGGATTTCAATATAGACCTTCTGTTTTGAAGTGGAGCACTTAACCATTGTGCCACAAGGGCTCCTTCTCCTCCAGTTGCTATAGCAAACCACAAATTGAGTGACTTTAAAAAATGGAAATTTATTTTCTCATGGTTCTGGAGGCTTGAAGTCCAGATGAGAGTCTCAGCTATGTAGATTCTTTGTGAGAATTTATAAAGAGAAACTCTTCTTAAGTCTCTCCCTGTTCTAGTAACCACAGGCCCTCCTTTCCTGGTTACACATGCAGCTGTCCCTCTCTATCTCTTTATGTGTGACTCTGTACAGCACCACTCAGAAGGCATTACCATTAAGCCCCACCCAACTCCAGGTTGATTTAACAGATAAGGAAAGGAAAACTATTTCTAAATAACTTCACATTCACAGATTACAGAGATTAGGATTGCAATATATGTTTTTTGAGACACAATTAAATCCATAACATTCCCACATATATTAAATCCTTTTAGATTCCACACAATTTTGAGAGATGTTATACACTTTGCAATGCAGAAAAAGACATAGAAAATAAGTAAGATCTTTTAAAAAATGAAAACAAACCATGAGGTAGTCCACTATTGATCTCTGTGTGTGGCCAAAAAGTATGTTCCATTTTCGGTCATTAAATATCTAATTTATAAAAAGGTAGAAGAATCAAATTTGTACTTCAAATTGCAAAACAGCTTTTCCTATTGCTTCTCACCAAAGAGTTCTATTTTTCCAGGAGTGAAATTCTATTGAAATGTTCTTCTAAAATATTTTGTGGAAAATAAGGACCGATAGATGGCAAGTCTTCATTCATGATCCCTAAACAGGAGACAAATTCATCAGGCAGGAGAGTCTGCTCTGGAATAATTTCCTTGGCTGAACCATTGTCCAAAAGCATGGTATCTTCTCTTTCTATTGAGGTTTGTATGTCACAAGGGCTGCATTCTCCTTGATTTAATATGAGGCTTAATTCTTCAAGAAACAATGCATTGTCTCGAGAGTTCATACTTGAAACAGATAATGCAAAGTCTGGATATTTCTTTAATAAGACATTCTTTCCCAGTTCCAAGGAACCAGCTGAAGGTACAAGAGTTGAAGAATCTACTTCATCATTATTATGAAGAAGGCCTCCTCCAGGAAGAAAGCTTGAAATCTGGGGCTTATATCCAGTACTCAGATCGGGGACATAGACAACTGAGGTGCTGGTAAGTAGTGATCCTTGTGGTCTGTCTTTTATCTTCCGGGATCCAGAATTATTTCCTTGCTTGTAGTCTGTAGGTGTATGCTCTTCTGGGAGAAAGATTTCTCTTATCTCTGTAACCATAGGATCAGCACATTGGATGTGTTCACTGGAATTATTTACAAAATCACTGTTTTCCTAGAAAGAAAAAGAAATTGGGGGGACCCCAAAACATATTAAAGAGACCAAGCAGATAATAGAACAAAGACCGGGCATTAGCATTTGACTTTCTCTCAATTTTCCTTTGCCTTTTCCTTTTTTCATATTGTTTAGTTCTCATATTATTTTTAACTTTGGCGGCAGGGGGGTGGGGGATTGTTAGTCAGTACTAAAAGAATTCATGTCTTAAGCACATTTCTTGATTTAAAATGTTTTAAGAGAATGGAGAGACAGAATCTCTCCTGTTGACCTGAATATTGGCATGCATATTGTTTCAGGGCCTTTTAAACAGTGGAATGTGAAATACTATAGAATCTTACTATAAATAGGTATTGATGGTAGTATGCGTAGTCCCTACAGAGGTGCACTGCTGACCTGAAGGCTGATTTTCCTTTTCTGGCAATTTAAACCCACCAGCTGCTCAGAGGGAGAAAGCTAAGCAACCTCCTCCCATGTGATTTATAGCCTTGGAAACCCACTGGGAGGTCAACTATGAGGTGGAACTGAGGCAATGAGGTGTTTTGTTGGTTGTTTTTCCACTGTAAATAAATACTTTGCTGTTGAAATTAAAGCAAAAGTGGTGCCAAATTCTACTTGGCATATAAACTCAGAATGAGGCTGTGTAAATGTTGTGTGCTGAGCTTCTAAGAGCGTGTGGCCATGTAGGCATGTTGATGTTGATCAGGAGGCAGGTGAGGAAGGCTTAAATTATTATGAAAGCATAGTGAACCCTGTTGGCAATAAAGGACTTGAGAATTTTCAGGTGATGGATGGCCTCCCAAGGCAAATAACAGTCTATATATATAGCCCTAGTGTGTCCACTTGCCATACAGAGGTAACTTGTGGTTGCTGTGAAGCTGAACACTCTAACACTGATGTGCCAAATGTGATAATGGTAACTTGAGACAGAACAATTTTTATTTATTTGACAGTGTTTGGTGGAGCTCCCCGATTAAAACAAGCTTGGAATCAGGAGTGGCATCCACTTCCGTAATAGCTTGCCTCTGGAAACCCTATGAACCTGGAGAAAGTATGAAAGTCACACAAGTTTTGAGGGCTTTTGTTCATAGGGTCGCTATGGGTCATCTACGACTTGACAGCACTGACAACAACAACACAATTATATTACAGACTTACAACCACCTCTTTATTACTTGGGGAGAAAACAACACCTCATCCTGAAGGAGGACCCAAGGTTCAACTCTTACCCCAAGAGTACAGAATTGGAAGGGAGTTTGAAAAACATAGAAGACCTTGAGTAAAACATTTGCAGTGTTTCTCCAAGTTTCTTAAGCCCTAGACTCTCAAGGTAACTTGCCAAATTTTGGATAAGGTGGGGGTGGGAGCGTATGAACATTTTTGTTCAAAGGTCCAATTAAGTAAAAGGTACTGGATACACTGAAGGAAATTAGAAATGCAATGTGGTTATGTTCTCAGGAAGAATCATTTTCCCCATTCCAAGCTGTGGGCTGATTGGAGAAGCAGATTGGAATTGAATGACACAAACAAATGATAGACTTTCTGCAAAGGGGCCCCTGGTCAATATCCTGGACCCCTCACCCACAGCACTGGCCTCTTATGTCTCCAGTCCTCTATCTCCTTCCTAGTATAATGTCTGTCCTAACTGTAAATCCTTCAGTGACACCTAATGGCTTTAGTAGCAGTTTAGCAAGGAGTTCTCAGCCTTGTCTGAATGGACAGATCACTTGGAAAGTTTTCAAGATTGCAGATGCCTGGAGTTTCCCTCCTCTCTTGTTTTAGAGACTCTGGAAAGGGTCCTGGGCAGCCAAAGCTGAGAACTGTTGTCTTAAGAACTGCTGTGCGGCTGAGGAAGGAGCTGATTAATGGGCCTCTGGTTTTCTCTCCCCAGGACTTGAGACAGAACAATTCTTATTTGTTTTAGAAATGCTTGACTTCCTTATATCATTTGAGCAAAGTGTTTCCAGGTTAGGGAGAAAACAGTTTGAAAATTATCAGTCAGCAGAATGAAATGTGAATACTAGAGCACCGAGGCTTTCCGTGACCTGGTCCGGCATTGTTCCAACTGTTCCTCTGGCAGGACTTGTCAATAAAGCAACGGCCAGCATGCTCTTCTCACCTCTGTGCCTTTGCCTATGCTATTCCCATCTAGTCCCCATGCCCTTTCCTTTTCTTGAACAATTCTTCATCTGTTCAAACATCTTCTGTCTGCTCCCATCATATGCTCAGGTTTATTTCTGTCACTGCATTTCTTTTGTTGTGTTTCAATCCTTGGGTGACAGGTCTATCCCACCATCTAAGTTGTGAGTCTCTTGGTGGGCAGGTCAGAGTGCCAGGAAGCAGTGGGAGCACACCTAGCTGACACCTTCTGCTGTGTGTCCTGGGACTGATCCTCTCTAACCTCTACAGTCCCAGGGTCTTCCCTGTATGCCCTCTTCATTCATTGTCAAAATTGAAGCCTGGGCCTCTCCTAGTGATGCCATTTCTCATCTCTCAACCTCTCTAATAGCTGTCAAATTGAAACTGACTCATAGCGGACACTCCACTGTGTTTCCAGGCCTGTAAATCACACAGGAGGAGACTGTTCATCTTTGTCCGGAGGACCTGCAAGTGAATTCAGGGTGCCAGAGAAGGGCATTCTTTGGGTTTGCAGTGCAACTCCATATTGACTACACCTCCTGAGCTCCCCGTTGTTATATACCATCGAGTCAGAACCAGTTCATAGCTGACCCTCCAGCAAGTTTCAGAGACAGTAAATCACATAGGAAGAGATCTGCTCATCTTTCTCCCATGAAGCAGCCAGTGGGTTAGAACTGTGTACCTTTGGCTTGGTAGCATATCTCCTTACCACTAAGCCACCAGTACTCCCTCCAGAGCTCTCTACTTTTCCCAAATTAACCATTGGAAAAGAAGCTATGCCCCTCAGTTCTATTCTGACACACAGGAGCTGGAATCAACTTCATAGCAACTGGTTTCTAGATAAAATATGCACACAAGGAACTCTGGTGGCAGAACAAATTGAACCTTGGAAGGTAAACAAAAGGGCAATAGTTTGAATCAACTAGTTGCATTGCTGGAGAAAGAGAAGATAGTCTGTACAGATTTATAGCCTTGGAGACTCTAAGAAGCAGTCCTACTATGTCCTATAAAGTCACTGGGAGTAAGAATCAACTTGATGAAAGTGGTTTAACGGTTTTTAACTACTGTACGCATTATTCATTCAAATGGAAATTCTACTCTAGTCATCAGTCTTAGCCACCACTTAGCTTTTGTTTGATGGCATTTGGTTACCTGTAACATTTTCATGATGTTACTGTTTTCTAGGTTGGGAATATCTTCATGAAGCCAATTTGGTATTACTGATAAGATTGTTCTTTTCATTCTAAAATAAAAAAGAAAAATAACATGTTAGAAATTATTTACCTTAGAATTGAGATAATAATCATAAAGAAGATTATACCAAAAGACAAGTTGTTTTAAGAAAGTGCTGTCAAGAACCACTCAAGAGTGATGAAGAGCAAGGATGTCAGTCTAAAGACCAAGGTGTGCCTGATCCAGGCCATGGTCTTCTCAATTGTTTGCTATGCATCTGAGAGCTGGACAAAAGAAGAATCGATACCTTTGAGCTGAAGTCCTGTAGAAGAGTATTAAATATGACATGGACTGGCAAGAGAATAAATAGGTTTGTCCTGAAAAGGGTGAGACTGGGTAACTCCTTGGTGGAATGGATTTTGAAACTACATCTCCCATACTTTGGGCTTGTTGCCAGGAGGGAACAGTCCCTGGAGAAGGACATCACACTTTAGAGGGACAGCGCAGGAGAGGAAGACCCCTGGACAAGATGGATTGCCACAGTGTGTCAATGGGGACAGATGTGTCAGAGACAGTGAGGCTCAAGATAGGTCAGTGTTCAGAGCTATTGTTCATAGGGTCACTATGAGTCGTAGTCAACTTGATGGCACATAACAACACTAAAATGGGTTCTATAATAAAGAGCAAACTTACTGCTGTAAGCTGGAAGCTAAGATTCCCATGCTTACTTAAGAAAGTTAAGTGGGAAGTCAGTTTGTGTCTTTTCAGATTGTTCTCTTGGCTCTATCACTCTTCTTTATAAGGAGTAGGATAATTTCATGTAAAATTCAAGATAATAACCCTGGTAGTTAAATGGCACATGGTAAATAAGGAAAAAATTATAAGCAGGAGATAGAAAGTGGAAAAAACTTAAGGGATATTTTGTAGAACTTTCTAGAGCAATCATAGCCACATTCACCAAATATTAAAGATAAATTTATAGAGTAAAATCCTATACTCTGAGCTCCTAGAATTGTGAATTTGTAGTCATTCCAATTAGGGGGACAATGAGAATAACAGCTCCAGCATTTCTGTTCATGGATGATGGGACAAGGCTGGGACTTATCTCTGGTTGAGTAGGATAGTGAGAATACAGTCTTAGATGACATCTTTAGTAAGGACTACTGGTGTAGAAGTGATAAAAAGAAGCTCTGATACACTACTTTTTCCTTCAAGTTATGTTCTGATATTACCAGGACACTAATCAATGCACTTTTTGTATTTACTGTACAAATTGGTTTGGATAAATAGGGTATATCAGGAACTTTTAAAAGGCCAAACTGATTAAAAGCACATTTTTGCAAACTAATAGCAGTGACTTGATTCTGATACCTCACCATCCTGGGGGCTACCTAGTATAGTGTGGAACTGACCTATCACATTTCCAAGGCTGTAAATTTTACCAGAGGTGGGCAGAGGGAGTTGGACCAAGGGAAAGTGCTCATCTTTCTTACCTGAAAAATGTCTTGTGACATTGAACCACAAGGAAACTGTGGTGGCTTAGTAGTATGGAGTTATACCACCAACCCAAAGGTGTGCAGTTCAAATGCACCAGTATCTCCACTGGAGCAAGATGGGCAATCTCTTCTCAAGAGATTTTTTTTTTCCATTTTTTTTTATTTTTTTTTTTTTATTATTTTGTGTGCGTGTACCATCAAATCAGATCTGACTGGTACAGGAGGATATTGCGCCTCCTTCTCCGGCAGAGCATCTGGTGGATTCGAACCGTGTTTCTCTGGGATTGCAGTGCAGCTTCTTGCCACTAGGCCACCAGAGCTCCCCTTCTTCTCAAGAGATTTATTGACTCTGAAAATCCACTGGGGGCTCAGCTATGAATAGATTTGAACTCAGAGGTGCACAATGATGACAACAACCTTTCAGTTAGCTGCCCAAAAATTTATCAATCATTACTGACAGATCAGACTAGTTTCTACATTTAATCAGGCTTTATAAGAACTTGCACTAAGTAATAACAAAAATGGCTAAGTTAGCCTAATTTGACCCTGAACGTGAGATAAAACTTATTCTTTTATGCATATTTATACCATATTTATGATTTGGCTTTTCCACTAATTTACACTCTTTGTGACTACCTGGAACTAGACCAAACTAGCGCTTTTCACTTTACTGCTAGAAAATATTTTAGACAATATACTAATAAGGAGAGAAGATATATTCATGTGCATTTGAGTCAAAGATGATAAGATGAATATTATATGCTTTGGGCATACTGGCAGGAAGGATCAATCTTAAAAATGACATCATGCTGGGAAAGATAAAATCATAAAAGAAGAAAGATCCTCAATGAGATGGATTGATACAGTGTAACAGTGGACTTGAATTTGGCAGAGATTGTGAAGGTGGCGCTGGATAGGGCAAGTTTGTGATCTGTTGTTCAAAAGATCAGTATGAGTCATGGTGGACTCAACAGTACCTAACAGCAACACCACCCATTCTTAGGCTCATCATATGTGTAATCATTTGCTATCTATTCTCTAGCTCTGTTTTTGAAGTAATACTTTTATAAAAAATGCATGGACCATCTCCTCCCACGAGATTTACTGCCTCTGAAAATGCTCTGGAGGCCCAACTATGGGTCACTTCTGACTTGACAGTACACAACAACAACAGCAGTAACACTATTAATTAAAACTGCTTGTATAGACAAAAGTTAAATAGAAAGGAGTTGTTTCTTTCATTTTTTTAAAAAAGAAGGCTTACTTAACTAACTGTTGTTGTTGTGTGCTGTTGAGTCAGACCCATAGCTGACCCTCTGGTGGGTTTTCAGACGCAGTTAATAGCACGGGAGGAGTTTGCACATCCTTCTCACTTGGAACAGCTGCTGAATTTAAACTGTATACCTTAGGGATTGCAGGGCAGCTTCTTACCGCTAGGCCACCAGTGCTCCCCACTTAACTAAGTAAAATAATTGTCCTCTTGCCATTTCTGTCAGAACAAACTGAAAGTTTAGGTTATTTTTGGTAAACAATTTAGGTTTTTAGTTTTTAAAAATTATTTCAAAAATAATTAAAACATCTTCAGATGCTATTGCACTAATACTAATTTTTGTAATCATTTAAGCATTTAATCATTTTAAGTCTTAAGATATCTCAAAGGGCTTTATTATCAGGCATATTTCAAAACAATCTAAAACACCATTTTATTAGTTTGCTATTAGTTTGCTCACTTTGCAAGTGTATTTGGGACATTTTTAATTAATGGATAATTTTAATTTGTAAGTATTGTTTTGGTTCAAGGAAAAAAGCTGCATAAATAAAAATAATTAGTGTATTTATTTACAACAGCTTACTTAAATCTTTTGACCACACATTTGCTTTAAATTTAAAAGAAAAATAATGTTACAAAGCAATGGCAAAAAGAAACTCAGTGATGATTTGACAAAGACTAATAGTGTCAAATTATATGTTTTTAAATATGTCAAATTTTGTGAACAATTGAATGTTCTGGGAAATCTCTCACATATTGCCATCGAATAGGAATCCACTTACAGCTGACCCTCCAGCTGCTTTTCAGAAGCTGTAAGTTGTGGGGGGAAGATTGCCTACCTTTCCTATGAGGAGATCCTGGCAGACTTGAATTATCAGAGAAGCACAACTTTTGGGTTAATGGCACAACTCTCTGTTGACATCACCAAACTACTCTGATTTATTAACAAGCTGTAAATGCTCCAGGAGCCTAAACATAGAAAAGCAAAGAGCTTTCTCAAAGTCTGTCTCTAATCACTAGACAAAGGTCCTTACTAACATAATTTTGTAAAAAAATAAAAATAACTGAAGGAAACTAAGGAAGATATTAGGTCTAGATGCTAAAAACTCTACCACTTTGGTAGCAAAGTGACAAAATCAAGCATTGCTTTCCTTATACTTCTCTTCACTCCCTTGATTTGTTGAGATAGAATTTGATTTATTCCGATTTATCTGAATAGAATTTAGGGCAAGTTATGACTTAACTGTGGGAAAAGATAAGCAAGTTCCTCCTGTTTGTTTAACAACCTCCAAACACCTGGTCAAAAAAGGGTCAGTCTGAGTCAGTTTTGACTTGAAAACAATGAGAGATACTAGGATCCCCAGTGGTGTGGTAGCAAAAGCATGAGGCTGCTAACAAAAACATTGGTGGTTCACAGCTATCGGCCTTGGACACACTAGAAAGCGGTTCTGCTCTGTCCTATGGGGTCATGCTATGTATCAGATCCACTCAGAGTAGGTTTGACTTTGGTAGGACTTAATTACTCTCAAGAATCCAGGCACTGGAGACAAACCTGAAACCCAATGAAAAGATGGCACAGTAAAGAAAGATGGGCTGGATTCAGACAGAGGCTAGACTCCTGAGTGACCTTGCTTAGTGACCTTGAACTGACTATTCATTATCTCTAAGCCTTAAGTCACTGTAAAATAGACCTTAAAGCTTTTTAGGCAAGGCTAATGTGAAGATTAAATGAATGACATTCGTTTAAGAGTTTGGCATGTGTCTTATTCACCTACTCACCCTCCTTGCTGTTGAGTCAGAACTGACTCATAGCTGACCCTTCATTGAGTTTTGAGGCTGCAAATTGCATAGAAGTGTTCCCTCCTTTCTCCCTCAGAGGTGCTGGTGGATTTGAACTGCCGGAGATGGGCAGTCTTTGGCTATCAGCACAATCCCCTATAGACTATGCCACCAGAGCTCCAATTTTGATGTAGGTGAGTTCTCACTAAAAATTTTTTCTTTTATTTTTCCTTTTGGTGAATAAAAAAGTTCATGGTGGGTGTGGTGTGTGTATACATAAATTGACTTTACATTTCACTGGTACATGCATATGGCTTATGTGAGAAATCAGAAATGCTACAAAAACCTACCTGTTTCGGAAAGATCTGTTAAGTATACCAATCAAAGACAAAACAGACAATATAATAGCAAAGAAGACCATTCCTGACAAAAGTCCAGTGTCTTGTTGCTTGTTATCTGAAATACAAAGAAAAAGAATTTCAGCAAAAGCTATAGTGCCCATGGGATGCTGGAATCATTGCTCTCTCCCACTGCTCAAAGCAAAGGTCATTGACTTCATAGAAAGGGGGGAAGAGAGGAACAGAATTAACCTTTACCTGAGGCTGTGACGTGATTGCCCTTCAAAACTGCAAGCCTAAGCCCCAGGAAGCAACCTTTTGTTTCAGAAAATGGGCTGCACATATCTGATATCAGTGGGTTTGTAGAAGCACATCTCTAGCAAATGTGGTCAGCATTAGACAATTTTCTGAGCTTACACATGCACATTTGATAGAAACCTGTTTCGCTAAAAACCTCATTTGATTGCTTCAACACAGGTGAGAATTCCCAATTGCTGTCACAGTGTCTAAAACTGGCCACAATCACAAGTGAAGTTTGCAATTTTTTTTTAAAACATTTTGTGCTAGACGACAGAATTTTTGCAAACCTTGTCACCATTTTTCAAAATTCAGTGCTTATGAATTTTAGTGCTTGGTAACCTTGGGCTGACTAGTTAGTTTTTCCTAGACTTGGTTTAACAATCTATGAAAGAAACTGTACAAAGAGCCTAACCAATATCCAAGATATTCACTCTACCTAAAATAATGTATGAAATAAGAAAATAAAATTGGTATCAATCTTGCATCCCCATTTTATTTTTAAAAAAGGCCTTTTTTTTTTTTAAACAGATGAGGGATAAAACTGTTTAAGAGAGAAAATTATTAGGGATTTTTGTCATGACAGGAGTCCAGAGCAAAGGCTGTATAGTGGAGTGGACCTTGGGCGAGGGATTGTAAAACAACGAAAGATTTTTTTTCTTTTACTTTTCCAAGAGGGTAGTGTACTAGAGGGGAAGGTTGGGAGGGGAGAAAAGTGCAACAATGAATGAATGGAAATCCAAAGTCTCTGTAAATTTTCATTGAAATTAATAATAATTTTTTTTAAAAATTGGAAAAAAGGCCTTTTTTTCCCATATTGAAGTTGAACTAATCATCTGAAATCTTTAAACAGTTTCTGTAATATGCCCTATATCTACCACCAGCCTGTCAGTTTGTCGTACTGTGGTGATAAATGTGTTAACTCTGATGCTATGATCCATGCCTCTGGTATTTCACACACCAGCAAAGGCACCCATGGTGGACAGGTTTCAACAGAACTTTCAGACCAACACAGACTAGAAAATAGGATGGACCACCCACCACTCAAATAACTGGACAGCAACTACAATCCCAGAGGCGCATGGTTCGAATCCACCAGATGCTCTGCCGGGGAAGGAGGGACAATCTCCTCCTGTACCATTAAGATCTGGTTTGACGGTACACTCACACAAAAATAATAAAATTTTAAAAAAATAAATAAAAATTAAAATAAAAAAAGAATATTTAAGTTCCAGTCTGATATACAATGTAACCAGTGATAGGATAACATCCGTATACAAGCACAGCAGACCTGTTAATGGTCACTGTGAGTCATAATCGACTTGATGGAACCTAACAATCTAATGGCTTAGCAATATTTTCTCATTGTACATAAAAGTCCTATTTTTAATATAACACATAAGTGAGACATGACACATTGGAGTTTGTTCAAGAGCCATCTTGGGCATTGGGTTCTGTAACAGATAATTTTATGGGTCAATTGTTACCAATAATTGAACCAGACCCTAGCCTATATACTGCCATGGGTGATAATGGTTAGCCTCGGGCAGTACTTTTTGCTCAGTCTTGTTCAGTCACTTGAGGGTTGATATCAACCCTATCTATATACAATTGCCTGGTCCCACACCACCCTCACTATGGTTGCTATGTTTAAATCCATTATTGAGGCTATCATATGGGTCTTTCTCTTTTTTTTGCTGATCTTCTACTAACCAGGAATTGTTTCCTCTTATTTATTAATTTAGTATCATCGACTCTGATCCAACCGGCACAGGAGATTGTCACTCTTTCTCCAGCGGAGCATCTGATGGATTCGAACTGCATGCCTTTATGTTTCCTCTTATTAATGTGGCCAAAATATGTGAGACAAAAATCTCCTCATCATTATAGGTAAGAAACATTCTAGCTGCATTTCTTCTAAGACAGTTTTTAAAAATTATTACTCCAGTCCATAACATACTCAATATTCTTTACCAACATCACAATTCAAAAGCATCAACTTTCCTCTAGTCTTCCTTTATTATTGCTCAATTTCCACATGAATATAAAGCAATTATAACTATCCTGGCTTGGGGAAGGAATATTTTTGTCCTCAAAGTGACAAGTTAAAGACATTTTTGGCAGCAGATTTGCCCAATTCAGTTTGTGTGGGGTTTTGGACTTCTACTTCGATAACCACTGATTGTAGATTGAATTAAAATGAAATTCTTGGCAAGTTCAATTTTTTTCTCTATTTATCATGATAATGTTTATTTATGAGTTACAAAGAATTTTCTTGTCTTTGTGTTAGGGAGTTCTGTTGCCCTAGTGGGTAAGGAACTGCCTCCAAAGGTAGGTGGCTCTAATCCACCAGCTGTTCCATGGGAGGAAGATGAACCATCTTCTCCAGTGCGATTTACAGTCTTTGAAATCCTGCTGAAAGATTAGCTACGAGTCAGTCCTGACTTGATGGCCGTTGAGTTTGAGGCAGCATAGTGTGTGTGTTTATGTAGAAGTGTAGTCCATACTAAAGTCTTTGAGCTTCACAAGTGCTTCAAGTATCTTTTGTGTCCAACAAGCCACCTGCATATGCTGTAGTTATTTAGTGCTCTGACTTACGTTATTCTTATATGCCATCAAGTCATCCATGACTTTTAGAAACCCTATGAATAATGAATCTGAACATTTCTCTATCTTGTGTCATCTGCACCATCTCTTATATACTTGAGCTCATTGCTATAGTCATCATGTTAACCATAGTCACCATGTCAATCCATCTTGTTGAGGGTCTTTACCTCCTATGCTGACCCTCCACCTTTCCGAGCATGATGCCCACCTCCAAGGACTGGCCCGCCTAACAACATCCTAAAGTATGTAAAATGCAGTTTTACCTTCTTTGTCTCCAAAAAGTACCCTAGTCATACTTTCTCCTGGTTACATTTTCTTTGTTCTTTTGCCAGTCCATGAGATATTCAAATCTCTTCTCTAACACCATAATTGAAAATTTTTAATTCATCTTCTGTTATCCATATTTACTGTCCAACCTTCAGATACATAACAAGCAATTGAGAAGACTATGGATTGGATCAGGCACATCTTAATCTTTAAACTGACATCATTGCTCTTCTGCACTTTGGAAAGTTCCATGACAGCAGATTTTCCCATTGTGACCACTGCTGCTGGTGGTCGTTGTTATGTGCCATTGACCCTATGTACCTATAGCAAGGCTGTGTACAGCAGCTCTGAGCCCTGCCCTGTCCTGAGCCAGTCTCATTAATTACAACATACCAACTCTTATTTCCCCAGTCACTGTATCAATCTATCTCATCTGGGGTCTTCCTCTCCTGAGTTGTCTCTTTACCCTTCCAAGCATGATGTCCTTCTCCAAGGACAGATCTCTCCTGGCCATGTGCCCAAAACATGTGAGACGGAACTTCAAAATCCTAGCCTCCAAGGACAAACTTGGTTTCACCATCTCCAAGACAGACCCATTTGTTTTTTGGCAGTACATGGTATGCTCAAGACTCTTCTCCAGCACCACCGTTCAGAGGCATTGATTCTTCTGCCATCCTTAACCATTGTCCAGCTCTCTGGTGCATAGCAAGTAATTGCAAAGACCGTGGCCTGGATTAGTTGCACCTTAGTCTCTAGAAGCAAGGGGTACAACGTGTATGGCAGAAGGTGTCTCAGGGGACCCCATACCACGCAGGTATGAGTAACTACTGACATTGTTGCTTTACAGCACTCTAGAGAGGTCCCTGACAACAGATTTTCCTAATGCAATTCATCTTTTGATTTCCTGACTGTGATGTTAAGATTATTGATTGTGAACTGTGACTGCTCATAGCAAGAGTATATTGAATGTGGATCCAAGTCTAATGAAATTGTTGATAATTTAAATCTATTGTCCACCTATCATGTTGTTGCCTATTGGTCAAGTAGTGAAGTTTTTGTTTTCTTGATGTTGAGATGCAATCCATATTCAATACTGTAGTCTTTGATCTTCTATAGCAAGTACTTCAAGTCCTCCTCACTTTCAACAAGTAAGGTTATGTCATCTATGTAACAAAGGTTGTTGATGAGTCTTCCTCTGATCATGAAGCCACATACTTCATAAAGTTCACCTCCTCAAATGATTTGCTCAGCATAGATTGAATAGATATGGAGAAAGGATACAACTATGATGTATACCTTTTCTGATTTTAAACCATACAGTGGACCCTTTGTTCTGTTCTCAGAACAACTCTGCAAAGGCAATAAAATATAGACATTTTTTCTGATAATCTCTGCTTTCAGCCAAGATTCATCTGATATCAGCAACTCATAGCCCTTATTCTGTACCATCTTCACAATTCTTTTGTGTTTCAGTCATTATTGTAATTACTGTGTTAATCTGTCTTTTTGAGGGTGTTGCTTTCTTTTGCTGACCCTCTGCCTTTTCAAGCATGGTACACCTCTCTGAAGATGAGTCTCTCTTGGCAACATGGTCAAAGAATATTAGACAAGGTTTCACCATCTCTGCCTTTAAGGTTGAACTTCCTTCAAGACATATTTGGGGTTTTATTTTCTTTTGGCAATCTATGTTATTTCAATAATCTTCACCAACACTACAATCCAAAGGCATCAATTATTCTTTGGTAATCTTTATTAACTGTCTGAGTTGCACCTGCACATGAAGCAACTGAAAATAATCATGGTTTGTGTAAGGCATATTTTAGTCTTAAACATTTTTATAGCATTCTTGCTATTTAGCACTCTTTCAGACATTTTTTAAAGCTACTTGGCACCAGATTTTCCCAGTGCAATACTTCATTTGACTGTTGTATCCATGAGTGGTGATGG